GTGGTCATCCATCCCTCTCTGTGTGACATATGAAATATCTGCTCTAAGACTGTTTACTGAACTTGGTATTTACAAATACACAGAGACCATTCAATTAACTGTAATGGAAAGGCTTTACACATTCAATGGTAATCACAAAAATTGAGGTTTATGCAACTCACCAAACTGTGTTTGCTATGTAACCAGTGGTCAGTGTGCTAGATCAGGGATGGGAGCTATGGTTTTATACAGGGAGCTAAAGATAAGCAGAATGTAATATATCGAGTGTCAAGGTAGCTGTGAGTAGAGATAGCTTCAAAGAGAAGACTTCTGGCTGCAAGTGACATTCCAGAGGGTCACATGGGCAAATCAGGAAACAAAGGTGAAGAAAAAGGAAAGCACATGCTTTAAATTTTATCATTTATTATTTGAGAATTTCATATATGCATATATTTTTAATTTAGCTTTTTATTGATTCTTTGGATTTTACACCCTGCAATCTAATCCCATTCTTCCCCCTGCCCCTCAATATCTGCCTCTGCCCTTGCAACCTCCCCCGCTAAGATAAAACAAAATAAAATTTAAAAGAAAAGAAAGCTCTTGTCATGGAAGCTGTACTGTAACATAGTGAGTTGCCCTTTAGTCCATAGATCTTACTAGTAAGCATTCATTGTAATGAGTCATTGGTCTGGTCCAAGGCCTCTGGTTTTTGCTACACTATTGATTCTGGGCTCTCACTGGGTCTCCTCTTGGTTATCTTATTGTTGTCCAGTATCTTGAAGATCTTGCAAATTTGGGTCTGCAAGATCGGCCCCTCCTTGTGCTCCCACAGATCATAGATGGGGTAGGCCAACTCATAGCCCTGGCTCTGGCCTGCTGGATCTCCGTCATCCTGAACAACAGGGTGAACTCCCCAGAACTGCCCAGGCTAGCTCACCCTATGCAGGGCAATACAGTAGAGCTGGCCCTGAGGGTGAGAACAGGAGAATCAGTCCCGCCCCTAGCCACTTACTTCATAGGGTGAGCTAGCCTGTTGTCCAGGTGAGATGCAGGGGCCATTCTGTCTAATGCTGCAGCTAGTGAGAGGCAGGGCTAGCTCTCTTGCTCTTGTGACCTCAGAGACAGCTTTCCTACCTACCATGGGCAGTGTTGGGCAGGGGGCTTCTCTCCCTCACCCTTACTACCTCATGGCAGATGAGAGGGGTGGAGCCATTTCTCCCACTCTCACAACCTCAGGGCAGGCTCACCTGAACCCCCTTCAAGCTTGGTCAGCACTATAGTGCTACCCATGAGAGTTGTAGGACTTGCTCTCTCAAGTGCTGTAACAAGTGAGGGACAGAGCCAGCTCTTTCACACTCACAACCAAGGGACTGCTCTCCTGCCTGCCTTGGGGGGGGGGAACACCTCCCCTGCTACCATATGGAAGATAAAGGAAGGGACCAGATCTTTCACATTCATATTCTCTGATTGGATCACCAGTACCCCTATGAAAAGGGTTGGCTCCATTATGCTGCCCAGGAGGGGTGTATGACCTGCTCTCCCTAGTGCTGCAGTTGGTGAGGGGCTGGGCCAGTTCTACCTAGTGTTGCAGCAAGTGGGTGCCAGGCCAACTCTGTGCAGCCCCTCTTCCCTCCCTCTCTCTGTCCCTCTCCCTCTGTCTCTTTGTCTTGCTTCCATACCCCACCCTATATTTACCTACCTTAATAGATCCTGACTGCCCAGCACCACACCAGGAGGGCCTGTGTTATCTCCTTCCAGGACCTGGGTACAATGCCCCTGACATGCATGTGGCTCTTTGTCTTCTGGTCAGCCTTCCAGAATACAGTATATTTTGACCAAATCCAATCCCCCATTCCCACGTTTTTCCAATAATCCCTTATTCTCCTTTTAATATTTGAACTTCGTGGGTTCTTTTAAAAAATTCTGCCTCTATATGTATGGATGTATGGATCATGGTTAATAGTTAATATGCTGGTTGGTTTTTGTCAACCTGACATAAACCTAGACATATCTTGGAAGAGGAAATCCCAATAGAGTAATTGTCTTCATCTCACTGGCTATTGGGCAACTCTATGGAGGCATTTTCTTGATTATGATTGATGTGCGAAGGCCCAGCCTATTGTGGGTAATACTACTCCTGGACAGGTGGCATCAGTAAGCAATCTGGATAAGCCAGGGGAGCAAGACTGGAAGCAGCATTCCTCCATGGTCTCTGCTTCAGTTCCTGCCTCCAGGTCTTACCTTCAGCTCCTGTCTTTGACTTGCTTTGATGATAGACTACAACTGTAATTTGAATAAACCCTTTATTCCCCAAGTTGATGTTGGCCATGGTGTTTATAACAGTGGTAACATAAATAAGATGGCCTCTCAAGGGCAGCATCCCTGAAGAAAACTAACTCTCCTTTTCTCAGCAGCCATCAGCTCCAATTCCTTATTCGCTAAGGTTAGAACTTCATGAGCCTCTCCTCCACTTGTCTACATCTTGTGCATGAGGTCACCGCTCCTGTGCTTGAGTTCCTGTGCACCAAGGCACTGAGAATACACTTTTATAGAACTCATTGTACTTTATCTTATTTTTGAAACAGGATCTTACTATGTAGTACAGAATAGCCTCAAACTCATGACCTTCTTGCCTCAGTCTCTTCCCAACACTCGTGCTAGGATTCAGTCATGCACCAGCTTGCTCAAACTGAAAATATGCTTGCATTGTATTTTGACCCTCTACTTTTAGTAGCCACTCCCAACACCTTTCACAGTTGAGATTTTCAGGCAAGAATAACCATTAATATTTCAAACATATCTTAGTCCAGCGCCCACGTCTTGACATGTTTGTGTCCAGATAGCTAAGACCTGTTGACCTGCTTTCCCTTTTCTACTCTGCCTGAACAAGACATGGGCTTTTGGACTACATTCTTTTCTACTACTACAGACAGAGTTTCTGCCATTGATAAAGAAGAAATTAAATACCTGTTAGTGTTATAGGTGACACCAATGCAGTTCTGTGTGTAACAAGACTTTGTGTTGGCTCTGCCTCCCCACGATGCCTTGTGCCACTCTTGATGACAGTATTCCACGTCCACCTCACACTTGGCCCTCCTCACAGTTGCCTTCTTCACAAGTGTGTGCTCTAAGGGTCTACAGATCAGGCCTCATTCCCACCAGTACTCTACTGTACATGAGCAGTGTGAGTGCAAATGCAGTTCTTGGACCCTCAGGCTTGCCTGCAAGGTCTGAGCAAAGGCAGCCTTGGGACTCAGCCTTGGGAATGGAAGTTTGGACATGCTTTTCTGGCCTTTTCTCAGCATCAAAGTGTGACCTCAATGTGGCACCTTCTCACCCCAGCTGACATTGTCTCAGGCCTCTGGAAGAGGTAAAGGACAAGTTATCCACCTTCAATCAACAGTTCTTGATTATGTCACTGCATAGCCTCTTTTGTTTCAAATGTTATTCTTTTCTTTAGGCACTGGTTAATACCATTCTCTTTTTTTGCAGATGCTTTTTTATTTGAATTAGAAACAAGATTGTTTTACATGTCAATCCCAGTTCTCTCTCCCTCCCCTCCTCCTCTACCTCCTCCCCCAACTAAAACCTTACCTGTCACATATCCTTTCTGCTCCCCTTGGAGGGTGAGGCTTTCCATAGGGTGTCATCAGAGTCTATCGTATCCCTTGGGATAGGGCCTAGGCCCTGTGTGTCTTGGCTCAGGGAGTATCCCTTTCTTTATGTGGAATGGGCTCCCAAAGTCCACACCTATGCTAGGAATAAGTACTGAACTACTACAGGAGGTCCCGTAGATTTCCGAGGTTTCCTCACTGAAACCCACATTCCTGAGGTCTGGATCAGTCCCATGCTGGTATCCCAGCTATCAGTCTGGGGACCAAGAGCTCCCCGATGTTCAGGTCAGCAGTTTCTGTGGATTTCGCTAGCCTGGTCTAGACCCCTTTGCTCATCACTCGTCCTTCTCTGAAACTGGATTCCAGTTCAGTTCAGAAGCACTATTTAATACATTCTTTACCAACATTTTCCTATGTACTCTCCATGGAAATAATCATTAAAAATGTTTAGGAAGAATAGGAAATCAGTCACTGAAGAGGCATTCTTTCATTGAATTACCCTTAATACATAATCAAACTCCAGCAGTGGGTTAACAATATAAAGAAAAAGGTGGATTCCCACACGTCCCTAACCTACCTGAATGAGGGTTATCTGAGAGAAAAGTAGACTCTACATGGTGGTCACCATGAGCTTTAAGTACCCACGTGGAACCTATTTTTAATTTCCCTTCCCTCTGTGCTGCAGAATGTCACATAGGTCTGTCTTTAAAAGGTGTTCTCTGACAGTTCAACCTTAGAGGAAAATAAGGTAAGAGATGCCATAATAGAGGGAGCCATTATAGGTTTAAAGAGAAATCAGGCACTAGGGAAATGTCTGGAGATCTACAAGGACGACACCAACTACAATCTAAGCGACAGAGGAGAGGCTACCTTAAATGCCCTCCCCTGATAATGAGATTGATGACTGACTTATATGCCATCGTATAGCTTCATCCAGCAGCTGGTGGAAGTAGAAGCAGACACCCACAACTAATCACTGAACTGAACTGGAACCCAGTTGCAGAGAAAGAGGAGTGAAGAGCAAAGGGGTCAAGACCAGGCTGGTGAAACCCACAGAAACAGCTGACCTGAACAAGGGAGAGCTCTTGGTCCCCAGACTGATAGCTGGGAAAGCAGCATGGAACTGATCCAGACCCCATGAACATGGGTGTCAGTGAGGAGGCCTTGGAAATCTATGGGGTCTGTTAGTAGATCAGTACTTATCCCTAGCATAGGTGTGGACTTTGGGAGCCCATTCCACATAAAGGGATACTCCCTGAGCCAAGACACACAGGGGTGGGCCTAGGCCCTATCCCAAAGGATATGACAGACTCTGAAGACCCCCTATGGAAGGCCTCACCCTCTCTGGGGAGCAGAAAGGGTATGGGATAGGTAGGGTGTTAGTTGGGGGGGCAGGGAAGAAGGGAGGGAGAAAGAACTGGGATTGATATGTAAAACAAACTTGTTTCAAATTTAAATAAAAATGGAGGGGGGAAAAGGGTGTTCTCTGAAAAGAAACTGTTTCATTACAGAAGCAATGAGAGTCATCACAGCTTTGGGCATACAACTAATGTCCATGAGTTCCCCAGAACACAGCAAAAGAGACACATGTATTTGCTTCCCACTATATCCTGTTTAACAAGAACAAAAGGAATACAAACATGTTTACCCAGGTCTCATAGATTTTGAGACATTAAGGATGACTTTAGAAATACACCTTTGTGCCATATCACGAATACGTTCCCCTTTGTTTATGATCTATGCTTGAGAGTGTGTGTGGACAGCTCATTTTAGTCTTCTTAGATAAGAACATTGTACGAAATACAGGCCTGCTTAAGCAACCAGTTGCCACAAGGTCATGAAGCATAAATGAGGATGAGACCTGAGAAGGATTCCTGTGTTGTGCTCAACTCCCAGCAGCAGACACAGGCCTGGTACCTCAGCAGGACTGCTCTAGCTCAAAGCAAGCATCCTTAAGCAATGGAAGTCTGCTGATGCCAGCAGGCTCTCTGGAGGGTGAAAATCCCTCCATCATGGATTGTGCTGGGAATGAACTTCACCCTCCCCCACCTCAAAGTTCACATCCAGTTCTTTGCTCTGTTTGTCTGAGGGTAAGCCAATTGGAAACTTCTGGAACAGAAAAGAGGCATCCAAACACTGGTGCAGGCCAACGATGGGTGCTGTCCAAGGCACAGATGAAATTCTAGAGAGATAAAAAGTTAGGCTGAAGAATTTTATCTAAATTTCTTATAATTACAGAGAAAATCGCATTGGAGAAACATTCAAATAAGATAAGAAATAATAAGGGGCATAATAAAGAGTATTCACTTGAAATTTTAGGCACCAAAATGTGCCTCTGTTTCTAGGTTAACTAGAGGCCAAGTTTAAATTTTCTTCTACCAATTAACACAGCTATCTAGCAGCTTCTGTCTTCTTCATGAGACTCATCCATATCCTCAGTACTTTCCTCATGTAGCCATTTACAAAATACAGGAGACAAGCTTTCAAAGAGGAAAGTACTAAACATACTACTTTCTCTTCAGTTATTGCTTCAACCCTGTAATATTTAAGACCTGTCTCAGACATTAAGGTGAAAGGGTACTAAAGCTTGTGTGTGTGTGTGTGTGTGTGTGTGTGTGTGTGTGTGTGTGTGTGTGTGTGTAAAACAATTTAGTTTATTAGATTTCCCTTTGTTCTTATTGGTAATGATGAATAATATTATTAAATAGTAGATTCTTCTCCCCCAAAGCTAAATTCAATTATTATAATCTTTGCACTCTGACAGATGAAATCAAGAAAACCTTAAAATTTCTAAAGTACATAACCAACACTTACCAATACAAGTCTCTACAACTCAAATACCATGTTAAACTTATAGAATGAAAATCTCTTGGGGTGGCAGGGGAGGAGAGGAAGGAGAGGGAACTAGGATTGACATGTAAAACAATCTTGTTTCTAATTCAAATAAAAAATGGAAAAGAAAAAAAGAATATAAAGTTTTCATGTCCTCAAAAATAGGGAAATTGTTATCTTATTAAGCATTAATGTTACCTTCCAATTTAATTAACATTGTCTCTCAAGGCTAGCATAATAATAACTTTATTATCCTTCAAGTGGTATTTTAGCTAAATGATTTATATTAGTGTAATTGTGAAAACCAAAAATTACTTTGTAAAAATAAATGAGATGGCCCCCACACAAAAAAAAAAGAAAAGAAAATCTCTACAAATTTAATGTCATGTTCTTATGGTCCTTGTATTTGTCTGGGGGGGAAGTCATTCCTATTTTTAAAATGAAAAGAGAAATAGGTTGATTTGAGGCCTGTGAAGGGCTACCAATTTATGCAGAGAAATGTCCTTGCTTGTCTTCTCAACCTCATGGAGCATCTGTTCTACTGTGAGAGACAGATGTTAAATGTATAAATTGATTAGAACTTGATTATGGCAACACATAGGAGATCTGACCTTGTGGTAGAAGGGAGACTCCTAAGGAACCCCTGTCTTGGTGAAGCTCTAAGGATGGAAGGAGTTACTTATATAAAAGGAAGAACATTCTGTCAGTCTTCTTTCTGTTGCTGAGACTAAACATTAACCAAAGTCAGCTTAAGGTGGAAAAGGGTTATTTGGCTTACATGTCCCAGGTCTATCACTGAAGGAAGCAAAGCAGGAGCTCAAGCAGGCAGGAGCCTGGATTCAGGAACTGAATCGGAGATGATGGAGGAATGCTGCTTACTGGCTTGCTCTCCATGGCTCATTCAGTTTGCTTTTTTTTATGCAAAACTGAATTAGCTGTTTCCAAGTGGCACCAGCCACATCAATCATTAATCAATGCCTCAAAGACTGACCTACACACTAAGCTGAAGAAGACATTTTCCCAAATGAGGCTCCCTCTATCTAGATGACACTAGCTTTGTTAATTTGACAAAGGAAGGAAAGAAGGAAGGAAACTAACAACGCACATGGTACAAGCAGAGAGTATGGGGGTAAAGAAGGGCTGGCACATTTGAGGACTGGGGGCTTAGAGAGCATCAGAGTTGGAAGAAAGATCAACAGTGAACTTGTGATGAGATATAGAAAAAGATAAAATAAGCATGCCTCTTGTTGGCATATGCTACACTCTGGCCTTGGCCAACTTAGCCCTAAGCTCAATGAGTTTTTGAGAGTTTTAGAACCAGTAAGAAAATGAGCACCTTGTTAAAAATGGGCAAAGATCTGAAAGCCTCATCAAAGAAGATACACAAATTGAAAGTAAGCATATAAAATAAGCATTCTCTGTCATTTGGAACCACAAATTAAAGTAGAAAATTAAGAGTACATGTGATGATATATTATGATCTAATAAAGATTGCCGGGAGATCACAATGCAAAGCTAGCCACAGACATAGGAGCTTGGCAGTGGTGGCCCACACTTTTAATCACAGTGCTCAGGAGACAGAGGCAGATGGATCTCTGTGAGTTCAAGGACACCCTGAGCTACATGAGAGTGAGTCAGTCTAAAAGAGAAACAGAGTTCACTCCTTTGATCCCAGCACTAGAGAGAATATAAGGAGCCCAGTGCAGTCTCGGGAGCAGTCTGAGCTATGGTGAGGAGCAGTGCAGTCTGGAGATGCGATCTGTGGTTCGGTGGATCAATCCTTTGATCTGAGCATTGGTAGAGGTGAGAACTCTCTGGTGGCTTGGCCACTTTCCTTTTCTGATCTTCAGTTTTAACCCCAGTATCTTCTCTGGTATTATTTATGCTATAAGTACAAAACCATATGTTCAATCACTGGAACATAAAATAAAAATAAACAACTGTACACTTATTAGAATGGCCAAAAATCTCAAATACTGATGGCTGACCAGGATTTGGAAGTAACACTGTTTGAGAGCAAGGAAAATGGTAGACATTCTAGAAGAGAGCTTGGCAGTTTTCTGCTCCTATCATAGGATCCTGCAATTATGTACTTTGGTGTTTACCCAAAACCAGATGAGAACTCAGTGCACTCAGAGACCTCCACATGGATGTTTGCTCATTATTGTCCAAACTTGGAAGCAAGAAAGCTGTCCTTTAACCGTGGTATTTCCAGCAAAAGGATATTATTGAGTGTCAAAAAGAAATGAGCTAACAAGCCACAAGAAGGCATAGTGAATGAAGTGCTGTAGCAGTCCCAAGCATGGCAAACATGGCTCTAGCAGGTTTTGCCCTCCCCCTTTCCCTGCCCATTATAAACTATAGATTACATCCCTAAAGCTAGCCATCAAGGTCTGTTCCCTTATCTGGACACTTTCTTATGGCAGACTGGTTCCTAAGGCTGATCACCAAGGTCCAGCTATCAAAGTATTGAAATCCAGCAATCAAAATCTCCCTTTGGCTCATCTAATTAACATGCCCAATAAAAACATATCATTGCGCCCTACCCATTCTAACACAGACCCACAGACCTCCCTTTTTTTTCCTCTTAAAATTCACACCTGCAAGGTCATTTGCTGGTGTTTACTGCCTGAGTCAGAAGACAGCCACTTAATAAAGGATCTCTCTATGAAAATAGGTGCTCAGATGTGCTTTTTGTCAAATCTGAGGTCCTCGGGGAAGTCCCCCCCACCCTGCACTGTGTGTGGGACCCTTCAGTGAAGACTTAAATGAAAAAGATGCCAATTTGAAAATGATACCCTCTATTTGATTCCAACTGTGTAAGATTCTGGAAAAGGAAAATTCTGAAGACAACAAAAATCGTCATAGTTTCTGAGGAGAAGATGGGGAGGAGGAGGCCAAACAATTAGTGCTGGAAGCTCTCTAGTTTAGTCAGTCTTGGCAAAAGGCATGTTTGAGCTTAGCAAAAGCACTTCGTTAGAATGTTCTGTATTGTCAGAGAATCCATGTGCAAATCTAAATAGATTCACGTTAGAGCTGGCTAATGTTTCCTAATGCAGAAAAAATGGGCCACTTGACATGAGTTCCATTACTTTAAAAAATATTGGCTCTCTTAATATAACTGAAAAGATGACATAAGGGTACAGCAGTACAGTAACCGTGGAAGACATGGCATGGTAATACCGTGTGCTTTATATAAATGCATACCTATTACTGTCATTGCAACAGTTGAGACAGCAGTGCTGGAAGGAAACAGAACTGCTCAAAGGAGCTTTGCAAAACTTACCAAGGCTGCAGGCCATTTGTGTGATCACTGAGAACTAACATTAGACTATTCGTATTTCATCTTTTGCACATAGAGGAAAAAGGTTACCAGTGTTTTCCACAAAGAGGTGTTTCCTGTGAAGAGTTGATTCATCTCTTTCCTTCACCAGCTTGCTCATGTTTTCCAACATTATTTTGACTTTTCCCTCATATACTGTGATTTCTGATGCCTGTTGCTGTTGGGACAGTGGTTGTCCTCAGTCAGGCTTTTGAAACATAACTTCTATTTGACTGGCTTTTCAAGTTCCTTGTGCTCTGATTTAATGCTTGTGGAAAAGGAGACACAAATAATATGCTTCCAAACTGAGCTCATAGGACCAGGAGTTCCTGTAAAGAAGAGGAGGCAAGGAGTGCTGGATCATGAGGTAAAATAGAAGCCAGGCTTGCAGTAATCAGGACTGTTCCCTCCATATTAATGCCACTGGGGGTATCTGGGGGGAGATTCCAGTGGTCCAGACTCTGTTCCCTTTGTGTTTATGAAGAAGCTCAGAGCCTTCATAGGATTCTCTTTGATGAAGTCATCAAGGTCCTGTTGATATTGAATTATGCTGCAACTAACAAGATCAGACTCCTTTTACCATCCCACTAACTCTTCTATTTAGCAAGGTTTACCACATCTGGACATTTCCAGTCGCCCTTGCTTGTCTTAGAAAGCTGATTGGAATATAATGAACCCTTTGCACCTTTTCTGCTGCCCTGTACTTCCTCAGTGATGGGGAGTGTCCTTCTGTATGCTGTGAGTCAATGTTTCTCTTATTAGTTAATGAATAAAACTGTTTTGGCCAGTGGACAGGCAGGATGTAGCCAGGCAGGAAATATAGGCGGGGCTGCCAGACTAGGAGAATGCTGGGGAGAGGAACACAGAGAATGAGTCGCAGAGGGAGATGCCATGTAGCTACTGGGAAGGTAGAATGTGCAGACATTCTCTGGTAAGCCAAGACCATGTGGAGACACATAGATTAATAGAAATGGGTTAGTAATTAAAAGAGAGAAAGCCAATAAGAAGCTTGATCCATTGACCAAACA